AGAAACTTCAAGGCTGCATGGTCAGAAAAGACACTTTAGTATCAAGCAAATATAATCTAAACTTATCAAGTGCAAAAATGATAGCCATAAGTTCTTTTTCAGTGGTGGTGTAATTAGACTGGGCAGAATCCAAGGTTTTTGACGCATAGGCAATAACATGTGGGGCTCTATCAATCCGCTGAGTAAGAACATCACCAATAGCAAAGTTGGAGGCATCACACATCAGTTCAAATGGAAGAGACCAATCTGATGGTTGGATCACTGGAGTAATGGTTAGGTATCACTTCAACTGATCAAAAGCCGACTTACACTTATCACCGAACTCAAAATCTGTGTCTTTCTGCAGAAGGTTAGACAAGGGCAGGACAATCTTGCTGAAACTTTGAATGAAACGCCGGTAGAATCCTGCATGACCAAGAAAAGAACGAACTTCCCGCACAGATGTGGGGTAAGGTAAAGCAATAATAACATCTATTTTAGCAGGATCTACCTCTATACCCTTTCTAGACACTATGTGTCCCAAAACTATCCCTGATTCAACCATAAAATGACGCTTTTCAAAATTTAAAACAAGATTAGTCTCGATGCATATACTCAAAATCCTGGCTAAACTACACAAGCATACATCAAAAGAAGATCCTTAAACAGTAAAATCATCTATAAATACTTCCATGCAATCCTCTAAAAATTCAGAAAAGATGCTTACCATACACTGCTGAAAAGTACCAGGCGCATTGCAGAGCCCGAACGACATCTGTCTGTAGGCAAATGTTCCGAAGGGGCATGTGAAGGTGGTCTTTTCTTGATCTTCACGTGCAATATGGATTTAGAACTAGCCGGAGCATCCATCCAAGAAGCAGTAGTGAGACTTGCTAGCCAACCGCTCCAGCATCTGATCAATAAAAGGTAAAGAGTTTGCAGGTGGCTTGGTTAAGCTTCCAGTAGTCTATGCAAACTCTCCAACTATTCTGAGCTCTTGTGGGGATTAACTCATTTGTCTGGTTAGCTATAACAGTTACACCAGACTTCTTAGGAACCACCTGAACTGGGCTAACCCATTGGCTGTCAGAAATGGGGTAAATAATGTCATCTTGTAACAACTTAGTCACTTTTTTCTTCACCACATCTAGAATGAGGGGGTTCAAACGCCTCTGGGGTTGTCGCACTGGCTTAACGCCTTCTTCCAATGATATTCGACGCATGCACATAGAAGGGCTAATACCAACAAGATTAGCTAAAGTCCAACCAATCGCCTTCTTATTTTCTTTCAACAAGCTTAGCAACTTCTCTTCTTAATCAAGAAGAAGGTTTTGGCTATAATTGTAACGACCTGAAATTAAAAAATAATAACAATGGAGTCGCCACCAATTTTATTTACTTTGGAAAAATTGGAAAACCTTTTGTCACGAACTGGTCTCTCAAAATTCTAGATCAAAGGTTCGGGAGTCTAATTATGCGCAGGGAAGGGTGAAAACTTAATCCCACTGCACCCCTGACACATCCGTTTAAAAACGGTAACCTTAAATCAATTATGCGAATTATTAATAATTTTTAAAAATATTTGTTTTATCCCTTAAAATAAATATGATTATTTAAGAAGGATGAAGACTGAAATATTAAAATTTTATTTTAGCTTGACGGAAAGAGTTCCGCTCCGACGTACCCTACGGTGCAGTGAGGAATTCAAAGCCACATCGTTCTTTAGAAATGTTTGTGTATTGAGTAATTTTAAAGAAAATCATTTGAAACCTTTTGAGTTTGATAGTTTCGGACTATCAAGCTGTCACAGCTAATATAATCCGAAATGATAATTGTAGGATTAACAAGCTGTCTCAACTCAGCTAATCCTTTTAAAATAGAGTTCATGTTATTCTTTCATTATTATAAATTTTACGATAAATTTAAATAAATTTTGAATCACCAAGCCGTCACGGCTAAAATGAATCAAAATAAAAAATAGAGTTAACGAGTTGTCACAGTTCAGCTGACTTCTATTTTAATTGATGGCAAAAAAAGGTTATTGGTTTAAAATCATCAGATAGTCACAATCGAAATGATTTAAAAAAAATAATGGGATTAACAAGTTGTCACAGCTCAGCTAATCTCGTTTTTACTATAAATATAATTTGTGATTCGTTTTCATAATCAACTACATAGTTGATAATAATAATAATAATGATGTAATTGAAAAAGAGTGAACTCCCGTTAGCTAGTAGCTAACATATAGTGAATGAAATAATATTATATAAAAAACAAGAAAAAAGAAAAAAAGAAAAGGTAATACATAGGGAAACGATGGGATGAAACAAATAACTAAAGAACAACTATTTTATAGTTATGTATCAAATACATAGGGAACCGTAATCATATAGATAATATAAAAATAATAAACACTTGGTACCATGATACGTTCAGGCGAAAGGAGAAAAAACATACAGCCCACATCTATCATATAAATGTATTATAGCAAGGATTATCTAAGAATATTTAGACTTTAGGATCAAAACGATGTGGGCCTGCATGCAATGGTCTAATAGCACTTATGCATTGAAAATTGAAATCTGATTATGTACATTAACTTTGAATCCATGACAGCTTTCCATTTGATAAAAACCATTAGCTATAATATAAAAAAATAACACAAGCATTCTTACTTGAGGTTCCCGCACAACAAAAAGAAATCGATTCACAAGGATTCATCTTCGGGTCAGAAACTATGTCAAACATTACGTAACATTAAAACAAAATAACAAACTTTGCAGTATGCATCTTCCATTTAGTACGCAAACCAAACTCTATCAGAAGAAACATTCTCAGCAGCATCAGCAACACATAAACAAATGGATAAAATCCTTGAAGCAAGCATAAGGTATTTGGATATGTGAAATTTATAAATCAACCATCATACTATCCGAATATGAGTTATCAATTGCTAAACAACAGTGAGAAATAAATTTAAAAACAAACCGAAATTACCAGAATAAGATTTTCTCCAAAACAGCTTCTGCCCCCTTCCTTTTTCTTCTTTTTGCCTTTATTAGAGTATCTTCCACACAAAAGAATCTAACTGATACAAGCTTTCTCTCTTTTTTTTTAGAAAAGAAAGAAATTCTCAAGCTCCCAATTTTTGTTCTTCTCCCCAAAGTCAAAGTCGCTCTCCTTAAAACTTCATTTTCATCTCCTCTCTTGCGAAAACTGCCAGCCCAAAAAAAAAGGTCCCTTACCAATCGAAGTCTCTCTCCTATTTATACAATAAACCTCTCCTGTTTTTCTTCTGATTTTTTCCTTTCTTCCTGAACACGGCTCCCTAGTTTTTCTTATCCTAAACCTTGTTTCCTCAACGCTACTCACGTGGGATCATCTGCAGACAATCCAATTGATTGACAAAGGCGGTGGCACTTCAACAGAATAATATTATTTTTGTTTTAATTTCAACCCTTTTGCGGTCAGTCTTACATGGCCTTATCTCTGCTCTGTAGCGCCTTCTGCTTTGTTTTCCCCCAGGTAATGCAGCTTGGCAAGTGGGATAAATTGTTATCATGAATGGTGATGGGTGTATAGGGTTTGAGAACAGCCCAACAACGTTTCCTTTCCATTATGAAAGGTATCTTATTATTATGATAAAATCTGAACTACTTCTCTTTTTTCTTTTTTAATATCTCTTTTTTACTCACTTTATAATAATAATATGTTTAAAAATAAGGAGTTCACCATTTATCATTTTTATTTGTATTTTTTCCTTTCTCTTTTTCTTTATACAAAAGATAAAATTAAGAGTTCACAATTTATTATTTTTATTTGTATTTTAATATTTGGAATAAAATTGGGTGTTTACAATAAGGAAAAAGTATTTATCCTTTTAAATGACACAACTTATATCCTTTCACTCTCACAAAGAAGTGGGACCCACACCTTTATTTTTTTTGTCAATTCTCTCTCCTCCTTTATCTATCTCTTTCTCTCTCTTAAAATGACACAACTTTACATCCTTTAAAATGACACACACTTTACCCTTACAATAATGACTGGCAACTACTCATTCTCCTCTAGGTAGGCATACTTCAAGTGATCTGGTAGAACCTTCAGTTCTAGCTTAGGGGGTTGCTCGGTGGATGGGAAAAGTCTGGTGGGTTGTACCAGTTCAGTAGTATGCACATCAGCCATGCCTGAAACGAAATTCTCAACAATAGAATTATTAACAGAACAAATATCAACAGGCAAAGCGGGATCCCCAATCAAATTGGAAGCATCAACAAAATTAATATCAGAATCTTGAATCAATGCATCACTGAAACTGGAAAAACTTGAAAAATTGGTGCAAACAGTGCACCATTCACTATCAGCACAGCCATAAACAACAATGTCATGGTAAGATGAAAAATCTGTATAATCAGCAATTAATCTAGCAGAAACATCATCAACAACCTCATCAATAACATCAATGCAGAAAATAGAATGCTCTTCCCTAGGATATTTCATAGCATCAAAAATATTAAAATTGACAATACTATCACCAAACTCCATGGAAAGAGTGCCAGAATGCACATCTATTTTGGTCCTAGCAGTTTTCATGAAAGGTCGACCAAGTATGATTGTACCACTAAGAGTCTCACCCTCCATCCTAAAATATAGAAATCAGCAGGGAAAATCAGATTATTCACCTTAACTAACACATCTTCAATCACCCCAGAAGGGTGAACACTACTTCTATTGGCTAACTGGACAACAATACCCGTAGCACGCAAGGGACCAAGACCAAGAGATTTATAAACAGACTCAAGCATGACATTAATAGCAGTACCTAAATCTAACATACAATCATCAAATTTACAATTTCCAATAATGCAAGGAATAGTAAATGTCCCTGGATCTTGGCACTTCTTAGGCATGGGTTGGATGAGGGCTGAGACATTGTGGCTCACGCTCACTCATTCATCTCCCTTTAGCCGCCTCTTGTTGGTGCATAGCTCCTTCAGAAACTTGGCATACTTAGGTATTTGCTAGATTGCATCCAAGAGTGGAATGTTCAATTCAACTTTTCTGAATGTATCGAGAATCTCCTTCTCTTGTGCTTTTTCTGCCAACTTTTTGGACAGAACGACTCTCTGAGGGAAAGGTAGAGGAATGGCGGGTTCAGACTCATCTTCACCTTGTTTCGAGGCCTCCTTATTCTTAGATTGATCTGATGATGATTCAGCCTTACCTGTAGCTAGCTTGGGATCTTCCAGTTGCTTGCCAGACCTTAGGGTTATAGCACTGACATTCCCTTTCGAATTTGGGACTGTCTGGGAAGGAAGAGAACTAGGCCCTTGAGGTTGGGTCTGACTCACAGAAGTAGCTAATTGCCTGATTTGAGTCTGTAAGTTCTGAATTGATGACTCAATCCGCTGCTGCAATTGCATATTACTAGTGGCAAGCTGTTTAAGTAAATCTTCCAGAGAAAGACCACTACTGGGCTGTTGCGGCGCTGGTGGCTGCTGTGGAGGTGCAGTAGGTTGGAAATTGTGCCTCTGTTGCTGAGGTACAAAATGTTGTCTCTGTTGGTACTGGTTTTGATTTTGATTTTGGTTCCACTTCAAGTTGGGATGATCCTTCTAGCCAGGGTTATAGGTGTTAGAGAATGGGTTGTATTATTGTTGCTGTTGGTATTGTGGTTTACCAGGAAAGACTCCTACTGCTACAGCAACTGTCTTGTCTACTGGAGGGGTACCTTCTTGTAGACTGGGGCAGGCATCAGTGGGGTGCAACAAATACCGCATGGGTTGCTTGCTTGTGGAGCGGGAGGTTGAACTATTATTGTTACTGCCAACTGTATCACCAGTGAAGTCAGCTCGTCAAGCTTATTCTCTTTCCTTTGATTATCTGTGCTCAACGTCATTGCTGCTACTACTACTACTGAATTCTGGACAAGAGATGCTTGTACTTGGAACACTGCACTGTTGTTCGCTCTAGCGCCAAATTGCTGAGCATTGGCTGTCATCTGTGCAATCAACTCTTTTGCCGCAACAGGTGTTTTATTGACTAGGACTCCACCACTGGCTGCATCCAAAAGGTTTATGTCCATAGGCAGCAAGCATTTGTAGAAGTAGACAATCAGCAATTGCTCTGGAATCTGGTGATGTGGACAACTTGCACAAAGTCTTTTAAATCGCTCCCAGTACTCATGTATGTTCTCCCCATTTGCTTGTCTTATGCCACTTACCTCCTTTCTGATTGAAGTGGCTCGTGAGGAAGGGAAAAACTTCTCCAAAAACAATCTGGCCATGTCATTCCAAGTTTCAATAGTTGAAGGTTGAAGGTAGTACAACCAATCCTTAGCTCCTCCGTCGAGGGTAAAAGGAAAGGCTCTCAGTTTGACCTGCTACTCATCAACTCCTTGCGGCTTTATGGTGCTGCAGACCACATGAAACTCCTTTAAGTGCTTATAAGGGTCCTCACCAGGAAGGCCATGAAACTTGGGTAGCAAATGTATTAGACCAGACGTAAGTTCAAAAGCAGTATTAATTTCAGGATAACGAATGCATAAAGGTTGGTAGTCAAGCTCAGGTGCAACTAACTGCTTTAAACTTCTATTGTCCATTTTTTTTTGAATTAATGATACTACTATTAGATAAATTAAAATCTACTATACTAGAAGAACTAAGAAAATAAGAAGAAGAAATAAAATCAGAATTTTCAGTATGTTCAAAATGCTCAGAAACGGAATAAAGCTCAATAGCGCTACTATAACTTAACCTACGAGCTCTCCTAGCAGCATGCAATTGTCTCTCTATCTCAGGTAAAGTTCTAACAGAGGACTACCACTACTCCTAGTCATGCATCATAAGGTACTACAGCAGGTAAAATCGCCATAAGCATGCGAATCATACGAAGATCATGACAAACACTGAAAATTGACTCAAAAAATACAAAAAAAATATCAAACGATTTTTAAAAATTATGGGACCACCACACAAAAATTCTAATCCTATCTACGAACTCAAAAATAAAATAAATTTTTACAAAAATAAAATAAAATAGTAAACGAAGGAATTTGGCTAAACCAGAGCCTGACTCGTGAGGCATAACCTATGCCTCACGACTTTTGACAGGAATGATCGTCTCCTTCAGCTCACCAATTTTCAGAGCAATCAAAGCAAGTCGAACAACTGCAGAAATACTCGACAGAATTTTGCAAAATTAAGGGCGCCTTCACTCCCTGTTAGGGAGTGACTTTTGCTTAGAAGGTCAAATTCCTTTGAGAATCGAATTCCCAAGATCGAATTGGGTAAGACATTCGTTTTCCCAATCACAAAAACACCCAAAATTGTAAAGAAACAAAGAAGTATAACATAAAAGAATGAATAAGAAAGATTAAAAAAGAAAACAGAGCAAGAATGAAAGAAAAAGAAAAAGAAAGCAAGAAAGAAACAAGAACGTAGAAAAACAAAACAAAAACGAAAAGCACAAGACAAATAGAACAATAGAGAAAGATTAAAGAAAGATAAAGACAAATTAAAGAAAGAATCAAGAAAGATTAAAAAAAGAAGAAGAAAGATTCAAGAAAGAAGAAGAAATATTAAAGAACGATGAAAATTCCCCGACAACGGCGCCAAATTTGACGTTAGTTGTCGAACTCACTTAAATTAATCAGGTTTATAAAAATAAAGATTTGTAATAAAGTGGGCAACCTGAATCGTCTCTCAAGGAATTTGTAAGGATCTTAATCGATCAATTAAAAATAAGAAGTAAAAAGGGGGATCTGTTTGATTACAAATAGAAAGTAAAAACAAGGATTTAAAAACTGAAATTATCAATTAAAAGAAATCAACCCAAGAACTAGGATTCCATGATATCCATGATTGGACAAAGGATTACCAAATCGTGAGCAATTTGGAATCCCTGCAATTGCTTAGGAACCCCTCTCTAGACGATCGCCTAGCGTTTGATCAACAGGACGAATCTACTTCATCCCGTTTGACTTAAGATCATTGGGTTAATCAACCTAAACATTAATTCTAACATTCAATCACTTACCTTAGCTACAATCGCAAAACTCGAATCCAAGTTGAAGGAAGAGAAACGATTTGGATCAAGATGAAGCACAGGTCCTCCGGATTCAACTGCAGAATCCTTAATTCTTGGATTGATTAAAGAACACTTAGCCTCGCATGGCTAAGTTTAAAACCATAATTGAATTTAAGAAAATAAAGAAGAACAAAAGAGTAGTAGAGAGAAAACGTAAATTGCAATTGAATCTTGAAACTGTAAAAACATAAACTTTCAAAACGAAAACTAAAACTAAAACTGAATGACAAGGTCTCATAAACATGCCTTTTTATAGGCTCTTCAAGTCTGACCTAGTATAAAAGGAAATAAAAGATAAATAATAGATTTGGGCCTCATAAAAGATTGGGTTCCCAATTACAAACTTAAATCTAATTAACTAATTAAAACTGTAGCAACTCTTGATGAACTTGGGTTTGATTTTCGACCATCCTATTGTTCGAACCGGGCTTTCATGTCTTCATAACATTTGTATCCCTATGAATTAGCTACAAAACACAACTAGAATGGGGTCAATCGGACACCTGTGAAATGAGTTATGGTGAAAATACTGCAGAAACGTAAATCTGGACTTTTATTACGAATTTCAAAATAAACCCAATTAAAAACCCAACATCTAATTTAACCCAAAGACCATTATTTACACACTAAACAATCCAAAAATTACTAATCAAGAGTAACAAATAAGTGTAGTAAATATTAATTATCACTCACTGGAGGTGGAAAAATGGGCAACCTGCCCTGCTATCAGCCTGCGAAAAAGAGGGTCGGCCCACCCCATTTTTGAAAGTGCATTGGAAAACTCAGTCCGTCGGGCCGAACCCAATTTATACTAAAAAAAAAAAACTTAGCCCAGCGGGTTGGTAGGCTAGGCGAGGAGGGTTGAACAATTCGGCCCAGGGGAACGAGCTGAGCCTGTTTTGTCACCTCTATTGCGCACGATAATAGTATGATGTGTAATATTCAATTTTGCAAATCGTTTCTTCAATAGACAATCTTGGAGTTCTATTTTATTGGTTTTGGATACTGTGAGTTAGGGGTGAAAATAGGTTAGGCTAGGTTAGGCTTTGATTTAAATAGCCTAGTCCTATGCAAAATATCTTAGGCATGAACTGGCCTGTTAGCCTTGTGTAGGCCTAAATTATAAGTCTGACCTGACCTATATTTAAAAAGAAAAAGCCTTGGCGTAGGCCTTTTAGCCTGTTTAAGCCTATTAAACATTCAATAATTAAAATAATATTACTTTATTATTAAAATTATTACAGTAATAAATTTATTTATTTTATTTAAAATAAATAATATGATATAGGCCGACATGTAAACTTATATGCCCATATGTAAAAAAAAGCCCACGGCATATTTTTTGATTAGATTTTTTTAAAAGCTTAAGCCTGCTCTATGTGACTATATGTAATGAGTCAAGTCTAGCCTGATATAGGCTAGGCCGTAGGCTGGCCTAGCCCAATTACACCCGCATTGTGAGTAAATAATGGGGACTACACAAGTAAAATTTATATTTAATCTTTAAGATAATTTATTTATTTTATTTTTTTATGGTTTAGTTAAGATATTTATTTGTATTTATTATTTTTGTTGTTATTATAATTTAATTTATAATTTTATCACACAATTGCTTTATGAATAAAAGTAAAGAATGTTTCATATACTTAAATAGTTTAAGGGATGATGTGACATAAAACGGAGTTCGGTGGTTTGTTTTATTTAATTGATTTTTGATTTTAATGCTATTTGGTAAAATGATAAAACTATATTATGAATTCATTATCTCTTTAAATTTTTAGAAGCTAAATATTTGAAATTCTTTATTTTCATTATTTTAATGAATTAGAAAATATATATTTTGAGAATTAATTATATTCCCATTTGATTTAAATTGCTTTATAATATCTGACTTGATTTTGATGGTATTGAGAAACTTTAAGAAATGATGTTATGGTTTTTGTGAAATATTTATAATTTTGTGGTAGAATATTTGAGAAGCATTTCAATATTGTTGGTGAATTAATTTTAGAGAAAATGTGAATATTAAGTCTTATGAAATTATGATATTTTTATGTTTGATTTTGTTTTCATAAATGTATATATTATGTTTTATGTCTTTGAAATTGATTTTGGGGCAATGATTTCATCAGAACACTATATACTAACAATAAAAGATGTTAACCCTGATGCATCATGATTTATTGATGCATCATGATTTATTTACAGGTGAGGACCATATTATTGATTTATTGAAAGCGGAGAGCCTCACATTGTCATGATTGTATTTTCACACGAGGAGCATGATATTGATATAATGTAGTTTTGTTTGATTATATCCATACTTGAAAGTAGGGGTGTTAACGGGACGAGCCGAGCCGAGCTTTGATCTTAACGGGCCAAGCATGTATTTAAACGTGTCCGACTGGCCTTAGCCTGTTACCTGTTACGAATATAATATTGGCCTGTGGCCTGATTTATTTACAAAAAATAAAAGCCTGTGTGAAGCCTGTTTTTATCTGTTAGCATGTTAAAGAATAAAAATAAGAGAACAGAATTCCACAAAAAATCAATTTCCAAATAGAAACCTTAGCTTCCAATTTGCAGCAATAATTTACAAAGTCTACAATAAATAAATAAAATTAAAGTGAGAGAAGGTAGATAACAAGTTATATTATCTTAGCCCATTATAAAAAAGTGCCAACAAAAATAAAAGTAAAATAAATAAAATAAAACATAAATTGAGACAAACGAGTAGTGCACAGTGGAACGAATGAGTTTTTGTGGATTTGTTTGTGTGAAGGAGGATGAAGGATAATATAGAACAGAACTAGTAATTCCTTAAATATACATAAATTCAATATATATCCAAATAGCATAATATAGAACAAAATCATTCAAAAAGTCTGTTAAACCAATAAAATAGGGTGAAATAAATTGATGAGAGAGAGTTATTACAAGTAGTATAAAAAGTATAAATAAATATTTATATACTAGGCTAGCCTAGGAGGCTCTAAGGCCGAGCTTCTGAATTAGAGTCTGAGGCCTTTTTATTAAACGAGCTTTTATACAAATCCAAGCCTGGTTCCAACACGAGCTTTTATTAAAAGAGCTCAGGCCTTTACGAGCCGAGCCAAAGGCCCCTGGCTCGTTTATCACCCCTAGGGGTGATAATAAGGCCAGGGGCCTATCAGGGGCCTTAGGCCCGGCCCGTTTCGG